GGGGGGTGGGTGGGGCTTTACCGAGTATCTCGGTCTTTCTGCAGGCATGTTGTATCCTTCTCGGCCCTACTAGGTCCTGGCAGGCAGGGTAGAAGACCGCCTCCTGAATTACATCATGTGTCTAAGTTGTGTCGATGGAGGTGTAAAACCAGGTTCGTTAAAATAAAACATTGTCGTCAAATTTTGCCGTGTTCACACCCATAGAACTTCCAGGACCAAAGCACTATAATCTAACTTTCAAGGACACAGAGAACCCGCTTTTATAATGCAGAAAAAGATTTGTTTGAGTTTTTTTTTTTATTGCTCTTTTTTTTCTTCTATATTTGACAATCTTATCCAACCTCACAGTTAGGTCTAGCACCGATTCGTCGTGATTGAACACACCCGGGCAGTTTCCAAAGAGCTTGAAGAGGCCACAAGAAGGAAAATATAGGCCCTAATAAACTTGTAAGGAAAATCTGCGTCCAACACTGTATGACATTTTTTACTTCAAACTGACAACATGGGGTTCACAAACAGGACCTCTGAGTCACTGCTGGGTAGGGTTTTTTTCTTTTTGTTTTGTTTTGGGGGTGGCCGCGGCCCAAGCCTACTCTTATCGATTTTAGACCACCAAGGGATCTTTAACGTGCGCAACTTGCACATGGGACCTCTGAGATTTTTCGCCCTTTTCAGAGAAGGCTAGGTGTGTATGTCTTTCCTACCATAAGATCAGGGGTGTGGCTGAAAGACAGCAGTAAGAAAGAAGGAGCCAAGGAGTAGCAGTAGAAAGGCTGCAGAAAGAGTCAGGAGCCCAGAGGAGGGGGCAGGCGAGGTGAGAGGGTGGGGGCATGAAGTGGAGACGAAAGCAGACAGCAGACGACAGACCATTGCCAAAGAGCAGTAAAGGAGTGAAAGGAGACAATTTTTTTGGGGAAAAAATGTTTTCGGTCACTACCCAGATTCGAACCCCGGACCTATGAATGAGAGGGGAATTGTAATTACGTCTTAACCCTCTAAGCCAAGACAGCCCCCTAGAGAGAGAGAGAGAGAGAGAGAGAGAGAGA